AAGCTGATGAGTCTTTACAGAGGATTAGGCCACTTTCCAGCACTTCACGTGGCTGGACTCCAAGTAAACCTCAACAGGAGTGGAGAGGGGCAGGGGCATTTCTGAGAAGCCAGGAAGGGAAGGAGAGAGCTGTGAGCACAGGCTGTGTCAAAACCACTCTCTGGGCAACCTCCCTCACTCCTGGTGGGAAGGCCGCCCCGAGCCCCAAACCACGTTCCTTCCTCCCCCTCCTATCATTCTGCAGACAAGAGCCATCCACAGACCACACGTGTGGTGGCTTTGGCAACCAGAAATTAAAAATAAGCTGTTTTTTCCAGTAGCCAAAATGATCCCTCACCAAAGCGCATCGACTGAGAACCTGACCGTGCAAAACCACAGTCTGGGTAAAGGGATGTCTGCTTTTCAAATGACCTGCTAATTCTTTGCAACCCACAGCAACTTGGTTTCTGTGAACCCACAGAAGCAGGCCCACCAAAAGGGCCTTGTGTGCTGATCTGGAAAAGTCCTCGTATAAATGAGTCACTGGCGATGGGATCAGTCATCTTGAAGGCTGCCCCATTTTCCTTAACGTGTAAAATGTCTGCGCTCAGTCTCTCCGGGAGTGGCCGCGGGAGGCCGCTTTCACATCTGCACGTGAAGCAGGCCTCAGATACGCGCAGGGGGCGAAGGCTTTGGCTTTCCAGGTCAGGGTCAGCAGAGGGGCCCTGAGGCCACTGAGGAGGCGCTTGAGTGGCTTGGGGACTGGGTGGCCCAGGGCCCCTCAGAGCAGTGCTGCTCTTCTGGCTGCAATGCCACGAGGTATCTGTAGCGGGAGGGTGACTCACACAGCCTCTGAGGCTCAGCACTCACACAGCCTCTGAGGCTCTTTACTCCTGTTTATTAGAGCACGAAGGAAACTGCTAGAGACCAGTTGCTTCCACTAACAACTAAATCTCTATTATGGTCTGAGTATTGTTCATGACTTAAAACCTACAGTACATAGAGTGGAAAATTTGCAACTGTTCAACATAATTTTACTCTCCACCCACCCTACCCCACCCTGGTAAAGAAAAAAGGCAGCATAACCCCACAGACAAAATTACATAAAACCTCACTACATCCTTGGGAGGTAGATATTGTTCTGTCCTTATTTTTTCTTTTCAAATCCAAGCACTGATGTTCCAGTTTCAAGGAACAACTTAGTCAGAGGAGACTGCACCCCACTTCTTCAAAGTGGAAAGACCTGTGAATCACTTGAGGGCAGTGGGGTACAGACAACGGAACAGCCCAGTGGAGAGAGGCGCAGTCTGGAATGTGACGCTCGCACACGTTTACGGCCCAGCACGTCCATGGTCTGCAGAGGCCATTCCCCAGCCCTAGCTTCATGGCCGGCCTCAGTCTGGTCAGTCCTTACCCTTGAGAGAGGAGAGCTCCTTCCTTCAAGGGGCCCAGGTTGAGCTTTGGCTTCAGGTCAAAGTTGCTCTTTTTACGGGCACTTAAATCCCAAGTCATTCTGCTTTTTGCCTATAAGAGTGTTTGAACTCTGTCTTCTGTCTCAGCAGAAGAAGTATAGCTTCCAATTTTTTGTTTTTTAAAGGTAAGCGATGTCACTGGAACATCTAACCTCCTGCTACACAATCTGCTCTCATTCTCCAGGATATACTTTTCATCATCCATTTTCTCTTCTTGAATTCACCAGTCCTCATTTCAAGTCTTTGTGGAAGAACTTGAAACCTCTGAGGTCGCAAATCGTGGACTTTCTGAATCTCTAGTAGAGACTGACACACCTATTTTCAGTGGGGTACGTGTTACTGTTAGGACTTTACACACGGAACACTCCCTTTTGATCTTATTGCCTTGGGACAGATATCAAAGGTGCTGCTTTTTTCCCTATAAAAGCTGACACTTTAGGTAGCAGTGGCGGGGGAAGCGGAGGAGGAAAGGGAGCATGGGATACAGAGGAAAACTTACCCACGGGAGATTTCTTAACAGTGTTTCAACCAAGTAAGATACTGCTTTTTCAACATTTCTCTTGCCATAGAAATCTGAGGTCATTTTACATCTGGGACACTGTGAGTAGGGGCTTAACAAACATTAAGTGCTGTGTTTAAAAGGTGAGAAATTTTGTCACTGGTAAAGCCAGAAGCTGAGTCAGAACAGCTCAGAGTGGGGAACAAAGCATAAAATTAGCCAGCTTACCCGTGTTGAGGCAACTATCTCCTTGGGAGAATGACTTTAAAGACTGGTGGATTTATTCATTAATTTCCTCCCCCTTGGGGTGGAGGTGGAGGTAATGGGGTGGTGGGGGGTGTGTGTCAGTCTCTGCCAGTATCAAGCACCTGTACCGCACTGCAGGCAGAGATGCAGGACAGCTGGAGAGCCAGTTCCTTTCCATTTCCATCCTCAGCCCCCTCCGTCACGTGGCTACCAGGGAGCTCTCCATGGGCTTTCTGGCCGTGGTCTGAGGCTCCTGCGTTGGGGGAGGCCGGCCTGGCCAGAGGGACTCTGGCTGGGAAAGCAGGCGTGCTGCTGACGCTGCTGCAGGCCTTTCGGGCCAGCAGGGTCGAACGCGGACCTGCCCTGCCCTTCTCTCTAGGCCGCCTGCTAAGCTCCTCACCGCCCAGTTCGGGAAAGGAGTGCCCACGGGAGGAGGCAGCACCTGTGTGGGTAGCCATGCCCGCTCCCGGGCTTGACTCAATGGCTTAAGAATGGAGTTTCCACTACAAATTTTCTTTGGGCCTGAAATGCCCCATCTGGGCTGGGAACGCCCTAAGGAGAGTGCGGCCTTGTGAAAGCTCATCCCACGTGGAAGACCGGCCTGAGAACAAAAATCATTTGGCAAATCCACTGGGCACCATGGGGATGTGGAGGGGCACGGCAACAAATCACCCCCAGGGTGGCTGGAGGAGCCTTACTTTCAAGCAAAAGTTGTCTCTTCAGCAGAGATTTCCTCTGATGGGCGGAAGCGCTGGTCCCAGGCTTTCTCTCCTACCAACCACGGCTCCTAATCTTCTTCCTTTTGTCCCCCTGAAGAGCCAACAGGATGTGCGAGTTTCAGGAATATAATAAGCTCCTCTTTCCAGTGGGTGGGGCACCCTGGCCAGAGTCTCTGTCTTATGGAACTGGAGGGAGGAGCTGGAGACCACAGACATCGAGCCTTCTGGCCCACATCTTAGTCGCGCTGGGACTGTTGCCTTGGAACTTCACAACATCTTTTTTCCTGAGACAGGCGCCATGCTGTAAAGGAGAAGCCACTTGTAGGGGCCTGAGGGGGACACTGTAATGATGGGAATGAGCCGAGTTTGAGCCGAATGCCTTGGCCCTTCCAAAGCAACAAGGCGGATAAAACACCGCCTTCGAATTTGGGGGTCTTGGTTCCGATAGCAGCTTCACAAAACCCACTCTAAGTTTGTGAACAGGCTCCGTGAAGTGGCCCCTGGGAGCAGAGCGTATTTTCCCTGACACAGGTGCTCAAAAGGGGAGAAAGTCTTTGGTGAGCAGCTGCAGGCGCCGGTTTGTGCACACTTTGGGGCAAGATCAAAATACCTTCCTGTTTTTTGTTCCTCGCCACCATCTTCACATTTACAACTCAGTGGTTAAAGGAAAAACTTAATAACACTATCATTTACCACAGAAATGTGAAAGCTACTCATGTTCATAGCTATACCTATGCATTAAGGTTTGAAATATAACTGGTTACTGCAGAATCATATACATTTAAAACTGGAAGGGAACTTCTACCTCTTATTTCATGGTTGAGGAAACCTAGTTGTAAGTGAAGTGACTGTCCAAAGTCATACAGCTAACCAGTGGCAGATATGCAATTAGCCAGAAGATTCTGTGATTACCTACTGCAGTGTTAATTTTATACTTCTTATTATTACCATGATTCCCACAATTAATCGTAAAGCTGGCTGAGTCGCAGAACCAAGAACAGAATTTTGTGCATCTCTGGGGAACACAGTAGCTTCATTAAAAGTGGGGAGGGGAGTCCCAGTCTACCTGGTCAAGGATCAAGGAGATCCTGTCAAAAGAGGGACTCCCCCCCCTTAGCCCCATCATGAAACTCAGCCCTCACCTAAAGACCACAAAGGGTGTTTACCTGATTCCTCTTCAAATAAGTCATGCTTTTTGGACTTTGGGGAGCATATTGTTGTCAACAAAATCACTGGCAAGTTTGCCTGGGGTCTGCGCAAGCAAGATTCCACGAGGAAACCGAGCACTTCCCGGAGGCTCGTCTCACCACCGCGAGTGCTGCCAGCCCTGTCCCAGGAAAGGACGCCAGGTCCAGAGAGTGCCCACCCTTCACTGGGTGTCCAGGAAGGTCCATGTTGAAGGCCATCCGTCCTGCAGAGAATGTCTCCTACAGTTCAATGGCTTAATCCGAAGCAGTTTTTAGCTGGAGAAGGGAGGCGAGGGGGTCGGCGGCGCGAGTGGCTGCAGCAGACGTGGCTTGTTTTTGCTTCTGTGCTAGACATGGTGCTTGGGAGCGACTGCTCTTCAGACGGCCGACATGCTCACGTACTGGTTGCCAGCCAGTGGGAAGTGGACAGTTCATCTGGGCCTTCCAGCCTGGAGTCAGGTTCAGCGGGGAAGGGTTTCCCCGCCCGGAGGGCGGCCATCTCCGCTCTCTGGAGCTGGGCTGGCCAACAGGCCTCTCTGCATGCGGCCGGCGGAAGCTTCTCAGGACACCTGGGGCTGGCCGCTGCCCTTCCGGGGCCACAGCTCGGAGGGCGCCCATCCTGTCGTGTGGGACAGGGGCTCATGTGTCACTGGCTTTTAACCATCCCAAAATTCAGGCCCCTGACAGGGACAAAATGGTTTCACAACAGTGAAAACTCGATTTATCAGCAAACAACTTCTGAGTGAAGGCAGTTCTCTGGCTTATGGGGGGGGGGGGCCAGGCCGGCGGACGCTGGGAATGGTGTGGAAGGGAGTCGGCAGCTGAATGTGTCTGGCGCGGGCTTCGCTAGGGAGAACGTGGGGCGAAAAATGACGTGGGGGGGCGCGGCCAGCCTCCTTCACTTCAGCATGGCCCGGTGCTCGCCCCTGGCTATGTGGGACGAAAACTCGTACCGGTCATGGCTCCGATAGCCGCACATGTTACACTCGAAAGGGTCACGGAAGCCGTGGCAGCCCATGTGGATGGTGAACATCACGTAATCCAGGAAGAGCACCCGGCAGTGGTCGCACCGGTACACATCCATCACCTCCCCCTCCTTGTTGATCACTTTGAGAGAGTCCCGGGGGCAGACGGCTGGGGGCTTGAGGAGTTCGTACGGGCGGGGCACCTCCTTCAGGAGGGGCATCCCGTTGCGGGCCCGCGCAGGGATCATGTGGTTCTGCTGGTAGAGGTGACCCTGGCGGTCTTCGTGGTTGCTGTCCGTGTCTGTGGAGTCGTGGCCGCTGTTGTTGGGGGACAGGCCTCTCTCAGAAGGCAGGCTCTTCTCTGGCAGGTGGAGGTTCTTCTTTTCTAGGTCCTGGGGGGCCCCGTTTGGCATCTCGGTGCGTGTGAGGGCAATGGGGTACAGGCTGCTGATCACCGGGACCATCTCCGAGGTGGGGGCGGGTGGCGTCTGCACCAGGGGGCGCAGGGCTTCGGCACCGAGATAGCTGATGGCGTTGTTGATGGCTTGGTCCATCATTCGGGTCTGTATGATCTCGTTCTCTTTCTCGTACATATAGCTGGAATTATAGTCAAAGCAGGGGCGCTTCTCACCTAGAACAAGAGAAAGACTGGGTCACAAAAGGCGCGACGTGAAGGCAAAGGCTCTGTGCTCATGTTTTCCAGGGTGCCTGGAAAGTGAGGATGGGCACGTTGCTTCTTCAAGGACACCCAGTTCCAGTCTCAGGAGCCAGAGCCAGCAGGGTTTGCGCCTGCAGGCAAGGGTCAGAGGTCATCAGGTTGAGGCTGTATGTGAGTGGTTTCCAAGGCTCCTGTGGGAGAGCTGGAGAAAAGGAGAGAGCGCTAGGAGGGGGTTTAGGGGTGGTGGGAGGCTACTCCGCGAACCCGCCCTGCGCACCTACTATTCACATGCAAGCAATTCCCAAGCTCGTGTTTTACTTGTTATTTTCTGCTTGTAACACTGAGGAGGGCACACACACCACAAAGAAGTGGGGGTGCTCTGCCACAGCTCTCCAAGTTTCCTAAGTGGCTGCAGAGGTAGAAAAAATCGCCCCTTCAGATGGAAAAATGCACAAAGTGATGTAAAATAAACTATTATATATATATATATATATATATATATATATATATAAAATAAAAGGGAACACTACAAAATGTAAAAATAAATAAATAAATAAATAGCACCTTGAACTCCAACTTACCACTCCTAAACACACGGGCCACTAGACTGGCTGAGACCTGAGTCAGAGAGGGTCGAACACAGACAGTGTGAGCAGAGCTCTTGTGAGGAAAGCTCATGATCTCTGTGCCTTTCTCAGAGTGTGTTCTTTTGTTTGAAAAAAAAAAAAATCGTGTCATTGACACAAGTGTGATCAGGACCATCTCACACTTGACTGAAAACTTTAATTAGGGCCATCTTCTCCTACTTCTCACGTCAAACTGCTGAGAAATTTTCAAAACAGAGTTGAGGCACCTGAGGGGTATGGGTGTGTGTTCAGAAACAGAGGCTCTCTGGCCAGTGGGAAGGCCTGGGAGGAGGGCAGGCGTGCTAGGAGAGTGGCTGGCGTGGCTGGCGGCAGAGGCCAGGCGAGGGAGGGCGTGAGGAGCTGCTGGAGGTGAGGCTGAGCGAGGCCAGTGCACTGCACTGTGTGGAAGTTGGGTCTGGGGAGAGCACCGAGCCACATCCTCTCGCATTCCCCAGTTGCCTTGCGGCCTCAAAGCTTGTCACTGTCTCCTGGTAAAGGGATCGGTAATGAAAAACAAACACAAGACAGCAAATGATCAGAAGAGATCATTCCCGTCTGTGGGGCCTCCAACCTAAAGGAGAGAAATAAGACCTGTATATACGGATCAGAGAAAAAAGGAAGCCAGACTGTGGAAAGGCTGCTTTGCTGTGAAGGCTGTTGGTTTGATTCTAAATGCCATGTTTGAGAGTTTTAAAAAGGGGTTCTGGAAACAGAATCAAAAGGCCAGGCCTGGGTCCTCCCTGGTGGCACATCAGGTTGAAGTGCAGCACTATGAAGCTGTCTCCTCAGCAGTGTGTTTCAGTAGATCTGCCTGTTCTGCTCCCCACTCTGTCTCTGGTGAATCCTCTTACCAGAGGATGCTTAAGTAAACAAACCTTAAAATTAAAAAAAAAAAAAAGGCCAGGACAAAGCAGTTTGGTATAAATTGCACTACTAAGTGATAAGGGAATGTAGAGAATTCGAGGCCGAGCGGGCTGAGCGGGAGGAGAGAGCCTAGCAGGGGTGGAAGCCTTACTCCCGCCGTCTGCACCGCCCACACCCACACAGCTGGTGCCTGAACATGGACGCCAGTGTAGACGGGCTGGGTCTGACTCCGGCTCACCGTTTACTAGTTGCACGGCCTTGGGCAAGTTATTCAACCCTGCCTCGTCAGCCCTGTCTATTGCTCGGGGTCCTCAAGTAAAGTGAGAACAATAACTGGGCATTGGTGGCACTTGGAATGGCGCCTAGCACATTTGATAAATGTTAGGGCTTTTGTTTAGTTTGAACTGGTTCGCATCATGTTTCTTTCTTGGGCTAAATTCGGTTTTTAAGGAAACTTTATATCATCAGCATTAACGGAAAACCAGTATCACCTGCCACAAAGAGAAGGTAACCATGAAACATAAAAACAATGAAAGAAAACACCTTATTAAATTGTGATCAGATATTACTGTGTGCACTTGGAGATAGAAGTCCCCCCCTTTTTCAAACAGAAATTAATAGGTGTGAGATTAGTATTATAGACAACTAACATCAAATTAACTCTCAGTCTTTCTCTTTGGTATAATCAGGGAGACTGAAAGAGAATGAAAAGGAAAATAATTTTCCTGCCTTGAGGGCTGAGGTTTTTGAATGTTCCGTGGGCCTCCTGGCACTATGCACCCCTCACTCTGGAGACCAACCACAGGTTGTGGAAGGCACACACAGCAAACTACTCCATGCCTTTGAGCCTAACAAGGCTGTGGCCGAAGGTTCTTTTCAGGGTATCAACGTATCAGCAATGTGTAAGGTGGACAGCACAGTGAGAAGCGAGTCTGAAAGGTTACTCTCATCTGATGGCTTTGCCCTTCACCTCTACCCCATAAGGCCAACCTGATGATTTCTAGGCAAATACCCGAGAGTAAAACTATGCAAAGAGAAACACTCTCTCTTGATAAACCAATAAAAAGCAACAGAAAAGTAGAGCTTTGCCCCATCATCCATGTTCGTGTTTTCAACTTATAGCACAGATGTGTCTTTCTTTGATCAAGGCTCTCTGGAAGAATGAGAGCATGAAAGCCAGCTAAGGCCACACATATTCACTCCCTTCAAAATGACCCAGAAACACTGAACTTCAGTTTCTTGGCCTTTTCAAGGTTATTGATGAGTTAATTTCTTGTGTGGCCAGCTCTGCCCAATGCCCCAGATACCAGCAGTCACTGAGAATCCTTTTCTCCTAGCAGAGAGGCTCTGAAAGGCTTCCAGGGCGAGCAGGCACATCACAAACTGTGCTTTTATCCTTTCTCCCAAGAGCTTACTTAACTGGGCCTACAACTCCAATCTACACTGCCTGCAGGCCATTGCTGGAGAACAGCAGAGTGCTGAAGTTGCAAGAGGGAAAATGTGAAGGGGCAAATGACCTCCTGGATGGGTGGAAATGTGTGAACAAGTGCTGTGGTTAACACAGACCACTGCTCATTGTTAGGAAGATGGGAGGGGAGCCTCGGTGTTCACGTGCACACAGCCGTGACCATCAGATCCCTCATCTCCGAGTTACGGTAACTTGAGTAGAGCAGATGATTATCAGTCACCTGTAGACACGATGACTCAATGTGTATGAAACCCAGAAGAGCCAAGCTACAGTAATTGAAAAGCCAACAACTCACGTTTCTTTAGTAACACACTCATAAAAAAGGTTAGTCAAACCACAAGAGTGTAACTGCTTCCAAGCCTGCACAGAGCCTCTAGTCCAGCTTCGACTCAAAATCACACCACACCTTTGAATGATTAATGGCAACAGCTTCAAGCTGAGTTAGAGCTTTTCTTCCAATGAAAATACAAAATGGCAACAGCAAGGTCTATGGTTAGAAAGCAATACAGCCTGGCAGGGCCATTCCCTACCTGGGATTCTTTTGAAAGGTGCCAGAGCCTAATACCCAGGTTTTGGTATCTGAACTGAGCCACCGCTGGCCTGAACCACTGTGATGTGGTGAGGGCACAGGGCTGCTGGGAAGGCGAGAATCACAGCTTGGAGCAAGAGGGACCGTACGTGAGCCTGTGGGTTCAGACCTCAGCCTTAGGGGTTGAGGAACAAGCTCCATCCCTCCTAGTCTGTTTACTTCTGGTCTTTGTACGGAGTGCCTAGCACCAGTCCATCTTAGGGTACTGCTTATTGACCCCCAACTGTGCACCCAGTGCTGCCCTGGGTGCTTTATGTATTGTCTTAGTCGGCCTGAGAGGAACGACCACCTCCTAGTCACAGGAGCAGGCTGACAGACTTTCCAGAGTCGCCCTGCTGGCAGTCAAAGACCCCAGGGCCAGAGAGCGCTGTATGTGTCTGTGGGTCAGCCACTGCTTCCTGGCCCATAGCTGTCCAGGACCACACAATCCCACCCAGGCAGTGACTTCAGCTTTTCTCCTGGGATGGATCCCACAAGCTGTGGGGAAACAACTGTGTTTTGTGCTAGCACCTGCATTCAAGAAACAGCTAGGATGCCCAGAGTCGTGTGGTCTCTGTGAAGTCCCAGCAGAGTGCCAGATACAAGAAGCCCTCACTAAGAGGTAGAACTATTGTTCTGTACCTCTCAGCACTTTGAGGAATACAAGCATAACTGAAACATGACAGGAGGTTGCAGCATTTACACAACTCATTACAAATCAGGACCCTCAGTGCTATGTGGTAGAACAGAGTATAGTGTAGGCAAGAGAGTGGGGAAAAATATGGACCGCTTCTCAAATATGCTGCGCGGGAGGTGGGACACATACTGATCTGTTCTTTTCTTTCAAGTCTCCTGTCATCTGAGGTGGCGGAGACAAAAAAGCAGGTGGTTACACTTGCCTGAGTGCAGAGGGAGGCCGTTCAGGGAGAGACGCTGAGGGCTGCGGGGACACAGACCACACGCACTTCAGGGCAGATGTGAGGAGGGCGTTCCAGACAGGCCCCACGGAAAGAACAACCACACAGGACGGGAAAGTACTACACAGAACAGAGTATGCATTGGGCTGAATTAAAGGGTCACTGGATTGAACTGGTAAAATTGGAGAAGGTAAGTTAGAGACAGAGGCTGAAAGGCTCAGGAGGCCTGGGTTTTGGCCTTTATCCCAATAGGGCATCATTGCAAGTTTTTATTGAAGAGGGGAGAAAAAGGATTTGAACTGTCGAAAAACAACACAATCCCAATGTCACAGCCACGGCGATAGGGTGATGGGAAATATTCACGTTTTCCGTCCTTGGGTTTCTTCAAGGGACTGACAGGCGGGTGCCTTCATACGAGTGCGCCAGTCTTAACTTCGACTGCAAGCACATATCCAAAAAAGGCAGGTGAGCAGGGCGAGTGGAATATCTGATGATGGTTTTGGCTCTGATCTCAATCTCACTGAGACTAAGTGACTAACATGTCTCCAGGGGAGGGAAGTAGAGGGGAGCTGCAAAAGGGGAGCAGGAAGGAGGAGCACAGACAGAGCGAGCTTGGGGGTGGCAGTGAGGAGAACTGGGCTGGGGCCACGTTTTGGTGCGTGGAAACCTGTGTCCCCGGTAACCTGTGTCCCCGGTGAGCCACGGCACGCTCTCTGGATGGCATCTGCCCCGGGTGCTCACCAGGGGAGATGGTGTTTTTCTTGAGGGAGAAGGAGTCTCACCCACCGCTGTCCCTGTCAGTGACCGCTGTCCCTGTCAGTGACCGGCTTCTACCTGCTGCAGCCCCCACACAGCAAGGGGCGGGCCCTGCTCGAAGCGACCTCCAGGCCACTTCCAGCTGTGTCCTCCCCTCTCATCCCCCTTGCCTCCCCATAACTGAGCATCATGGGTGGCTGCTCATACTTCCACCAGCTCTGGAAGGCCATGGCTGTGTAAATGCCTGCAGGGGTGTGGATCTCAGCCCTTGGACAGGGGGTGGGACAAGATACTTTTTGCTTTTAGGAGAAAGGTATTGAACTGCTTCCTGTCCCTCTGTTAGCCAAAGCAGACAACTTCTCATTAGTTACTTCGCAGGGAATAACTGACAGACAGTGTTGAAGTGTCAAGCCTCATTGACATGTTTACCTTGGAGGGCTGAGACCTTTTTCATGTTCTTTTCAACATGAAAACTCCCTTTAATAAAATAATTCATAAATGAAAAGAAATAAGATGCTATGGTAACCACTTCAGTCTGAATAACACATCTGTTTTTGGAGAAAGAATGAAAATCAGAAAAAGAAATATGCAGAAATACAGTCACTTTCCTCCTCCCCCCAGGAGAGAAATCTGGCCTCTATTTTGAGCCAAGTATTTGACGATGGCCTAGTTAGGAGTAGAGTCAAATGAATTTATCACAAGAGAGTGAGACTCAGAGGAAGGCCAGACCAGAAAGGGCCAGGCCCTAAAAGAAAGGGCTTCCTGTCCTTTGAAATGAACGACTGAGGAGAATTATCTTTATGATGTAAAAGACGCTGATTTCTAATGAATGTGTGTCAACTGAGCTCCCATTTTACAGGAAGTGATACAACATTTCTTGGAGAAAAGGGGGAGAAATGATTTTTTCCCTTCTTCTTGGCACTTTAATTTTACTCTTCCTCTGCACCAGAGGCAGTTTTTTTTCTGTTTCTAAATGCATCCAGGCTCGGTTCCATCTGCCCTCTTCCTCCATCACCTCCAGTGGAAGAAAATGCTACTAGAGGCCATTGCCTCTAGCCTGCCAGGGAAGTAACAGGCTGACCCGGTGGCAGAATGTCGCTTCACCCTCACAGTTCAAGAGGTCAGGGGCGCCCAGGTGGGTCTGAGCACTGTGCACTGTCAGCAAGGAGTAAGGGGTGACTCATCCCTCCTTCACACTTCACCCGCTGCCATTTCCCTGGCAGCGGAGTCTTTTCAGAAAATGGTGACTTGGAGAGGAAATACAGGAGAGAGAAGAGGTGAGGAGGGAACACCAGCCTATGTTTTGTATCACTTCATGCCGTGTGCGCACAGGGTCATGGCTTCCATGCTCCCCCTACTTTCAGCACAAAGGTGATTCGGTTAAATGAAAAGGGATTTCTTTTATTTGAGAAAAAAATCTCTAAAACAAGGGCTCAGGAGAGAAGCGAGTGGTAGGAGATTAGAACAGCGCTCAGGAGAATAGCACGTTTTCTTGGATGATGATCTGACAGGACCCCCGACCTCAGCACGGTGACTGGCTGGTGGAGGCTCATAAGCAAGCTGCGACGTACTAAGTGACACGTGTGTGCTGAATGAGTGCGGCTGCTTTACGAATTCTCAGATTGAATGACATCACCCTAAAACAGATGAGGTAGTTCATAACATAAATACCTTTTCCGTATGACCTTGAGAAGGAAGTAGTCCGGTACACGTTTGGGTTTATAAACACAAAGTCGCACTCAGAACTGTGGCTTTTCCAACTCATCTCAGAGACTTGAGGACCTGTGTCCACTCCCATCTCCTCTTCAGTCCCCTCATTTCAGAGATGAGCAGAGGCCCAGAAACTTACGTGACGCATCCAGTCACACAAGGTTAAGAAATGACTGAGCAAGAACCAGAACCTGGGTCTTTTCCTTAATCCAGGGCTCTTCCTACTGCATGGTACTACAATTTACCAAAAAGCAAGAACAAAAACAACCACCCAAACCCAAAATTCCCTGAAGTCCCAAAGTTGAGTCAGCTCAAATCAAGAGTTAATGCTACAAGTTTCCTGGGCTCCCGCACAGAGACTGATACTTCTGAAGATGAAAGAAATCAGCACCGACAAGACCAGCATCTCGGGGAGTCTGGGAAGGGAGGAAGGAAAAAGCCTGTGCTCACAATGGCAAGGAACAAACGGAACAGATCCCTGAGGCAATGGGTAAAATGGCCTGATGGGAACAAATGAAACAGGTTGTGTTTTTACTTAAAATTTTTTTTTCGCCCTTCCATCCCCAAGTTGTGTTTTTACAGCCATGAAAATATGAAGGCAACTTTCATTATACTCAGTCGGGTGTTGGCTCAGCTGTAAGAACTGTGCACCTTCCCTCATATTTTAGTCTGTTAGATCAAAATGAGTCAGTTTACATTTTTTCTTCTTGCTCAACTCCCCTCATGTCTCTCTTCACACCAGCTTCAGTCATTTCCAGAGTCAAGACTTTCCCTTTATCAAATGACACTCACAGTTCAGAAGAACAATCCAAGCTTTCTTTTATATTCTAGTTAGAACCTCTTCACATAAATAAAGCTCAAAAGAACTATGAGTAACTTTTAAAAATAATAGCCACTGTGCCTAACTTCCATGGAGGTTACTACACGCCCCCATCATTTCTCACCAAGGAGAAGGAAGATGGTGAGGAGGAAGGGGTCTCTCTCAACTGGAGTGCATCCACACTTATTCCTTTTTAAATGATTTTATTTTTAAAATCAATTAAAAAAAAGTAACTAATATTTGGATACTGCCTTCAGCACTGCCACCCTGCTGCACCCTCCACCGAATTACCCATAGTCCACTATCAGTTCATTGCGCTGATAATTTATTCTTAAAGAGACTAAAAGGATACAAATTTTTTTCAGCTAATCAAAATGTAATAAAGAAGCAAAAATACCAAGTTAGATAATATGTGGGTTCTTTCAATCCTTCTCTATAATTCACACAACATGTCACCTTGTAGAGAAAATTATTTAGACCAGAATAAAATTTAACTAGATGTAACCATGCAGGCATTTGCTATCTATATCTTAAAAAAAAAAACTATTGAAAAGAATAAACGACAGGGCTAAAGTAAGAAATCAACAACAGTAAGGAGCTTTGGAAAAACAGGCTGACAATTTTCTAAAGTATTACTGGTGTTGAGGTCTATTTTTGTGTGATAACTATTTTTATTCAATATCACTGACTTTCAATTTATAGCAAAACTGATACATTCAATTCAGCTGCCTACTTCACAAATACAAATCTATTTTGAATATCATGGTCACATTTATAGAAACGTCTGGGAGAGTTCAGAAAATATCTGCCATTCCACAGCGCAACACTTTAATGGACATAATTATTTCTTAGCCATCTCGTTCTGCTATATTTTTGACAACATGAAAACCAATGGCATAAAAATTAACTCCATTAAGACAAATGATTAAATCCAACCCTGTTATTTAAATCCACATTTTCCCAAGCACTTTTCCTTAAAAGCCAATTCTCAATCAAATTAAAAAATAGGGCAATACATTTTAAAGCATGACAAAAGTCCGAGCACGTTAACGGAACCAACTTGTAAAATATAATTACAAAAGATTACAGAAATGCTATCTCAAACATCTTAGTGGTGCAAATTGCATAAACTCCTATCATGCAACATATTGTCATTCGGAATACAGAGGAAGGAACAGCATTTTTAACACAAACTCCATTTAGGAAATTGGATACCAAACGCTCCCATCTTCAGTAGTTAAGAATCTTTAGTTAAAATATTTTATTCTGTTTGCTCTAGTTACCAAAATTATCATGAAGATTAAAAGTGCACAAACAGAAGACCAAGCACCTTACTTTAAAGGGTTAAACTAGGCAGGGTCTGTGTAGTAATAAGCCACCTCTGTTATCTCATTCAAACTATCTGCTAACAACAGCAGGAAAAGGGTTGTATTCTTACCAATGAATTTCTGAGGCATTGAGCTTTTTCGTTTTGCCACATTGCTTGCTAATCTGTCCAGAACGAGAGCTCTTTCACTTCCCATCTCTGCCTTGATGTGTCTTGCCTCCGCACTTGCTGGTTTGGAAAATTTGAAAAAGAGGAGGGAAAAAAAAATGTTGGTCAATGTGGAGAAAAGGAAATAGGCTGGAAGGAGGCCCCTGCACACCGCTGCTACCTGGGTGTGCGCCTGGGATTCCTGCCCTGGGCACCTGCTGTGGCCAGTGAAGCCAGCCTGCACCAGGGCACATTCAAATCTTGCAGTCTTATGCGGAGCTGGGAAAGCCCGACCCATCCCCAACCAGTACCTTCATTAGCAAGAGGAAGTATTAAATAAACAGCTTGGACGTGGTTGGTTGCAAAAAGATAGATAGAAGGAGATCTAACCCCTATCAGCCTTTCTGATTCTGAGTAACTGCTCGTGACACCTGCAGACTGATAGAATTCTTCTTAACAACTTTGAAAAAAAGAGTATGGTGTCCCAGATTTACTGCTGTTTATGTTAATCGCACTTTTGAAAATAGACACACTTACCCAGATAGCAAGAAATCAACTCGGTGATTTGTATATTGAAATTCTGAGTGGGTTTTTTTTTCTTCTTTTTTCCAGCCTGCTCCTTTCAGTTCCTATCTTTCAAATTCTATTTCTCTGGGCTTTGCATTATCTGTTTCATATGCTTTTCACATTTCAAAACTGTCTCAGTTAAAATTTCCCTGAGCAACACTTCTGTCTTGAAATTAAAGACCAATTTGTACAATACATTCTTATTATATTTCTAATGAAAAAATATGAACAAACTGCCTAAGAATATGGTCTAATTGTCAATCCATGAGTAGAAACTCAAGTGCTTCTTTGACCTGCCTGAACATCAGAATCACCTGAAGAACAGCTAAGAGACACCTGTGTCCAGACTCCCCCTTCATAGGAATTGAAAGGGGATCTCTGATTTAGGGGCCTAACGTTTTTAAAGTTCTCCAGGTGATTTTTACAATACGACAAGAATTGAGAACCACTAGAATACATAAATAGTGCCAACATCTAGTTAACTAAAATAGTAAATTAGAATAAATATAGTTTATTCTGGTATAGCAGGCACTACTCAATAAGAGTTCATGCCTGAAGTTCGAAGACTAGCCTAATATAAAGTCTCAAACTTTAACACATGGTGTTAGTCTAAACTAGGGATCAGCAGAATCTTCAGTAAAGGGCCAGACTGTACAGATTTTAAACCTTAGGGGACAGATATAGTTTTCATTCCAAATTCTTTATCCCTCTGCCTCCCTGCCCACCACCCTTTAACAATGCAAAACACACACACACATACACAAAACCCTGTTGCACACAGGCCACTGGTCAGAGTTTGCTCACCCCTGACCTAAGCAAACATTTTGTGATGCTACAAACATTACTATTCTATCATAAGCATTTCAGGAAGCCCAAACTAAAACAAAGAAGCCAATATTTCTAATGTTTCTAAGAAAGAAGAAAGTGAACTGTGTTTAAGGGGCTGGAGTGAAAAGCAGGCAACGAGTGCAAAGTGGAACCCGCATCCCCTCCCCTCCAAATCTACACACAGCGTTGGGAGCTGCTGATGCTGATTCTACAGTTGGAGGGTTTGCTGTGTGGGAAGAAAACCTAATGCACAGAAATACTATCACGCATTTTGTGGGCTCTCAGACATTCAGACCTTAAGTGGACATGCCCAGAGGGAAGAAAAGTGGCTGCCACTGCAATAAATAAACCCCCAGGGCAGGACTGTAGCTGGGCGAGAGGACCGAAGCCAAATTAGGGGAGAATTCAAAGTATTTTATTTTTTATTGCCATGTTTTTGTTTCTTTAAAACATTGTTTGCTAATCACCATACAATAAACAATAAAGCTTGGGTATTTTTTTGAATGCAGGTGTATAATGAAATCTGGCTCCAAAAAACGAAGGAGAGGAGATGATGCTGATAATGACCACATTTCCTAGACTTTGTGAGTTCCCTGTCAAAACCAATTCTGTGCTCTAAAGAAACAAATTCCAGTCTTGAGTTTAAGCCGTTAGTGACACTATTTGTGTAAAGGAGAACAATAGGGCCAGGGTAAGGGGCCTGGGCAGCCTTGGGTTAGTGCTCCCACACGGCAGCTGGCTGACCAGCAGCTGTACACGGCTGGCACAGTGAGGCCAGGACACTGGTGGTGAGTGAACTGGGTCAAATTCTGGCCAGCCCAGGAGTGGGTCTAAGTGACCAAACAGGAAACTATTATATATATTATTTCCTTTCGCACAAACCACCACCAGATGTGGCACTACCCGGAGCCCCAGGAGCAGAGAGATGAAAGACACAACCAGGGGCTGGAAATACGCTGTAGGAGGTTTTCCTTAGAAGTGTCAGGAGGCAGCTCAAGTCTTGCTTCGACCAGGGCGCTGTGGTTCTGGCAGGTGTGACGGGAGCAAATGAAGGTAAGGCTCTCCCTTCCCTGTACTTAGAATCTAAAAGATCTAAAGCAAATTGAGAATGAGAAACAGCACTTTGGGATTTTTTAAGTTTATCCCCACTTCACCACTGCTCTTATCAGTCTCCCTGCAGTCATCCTCCAGTCGCCTGAAGACCCGGGATAATGTCCACAGCACCAGGACTCCTGCTGCTGCCAGCCTGGCTCCCCACGCTGTGGCCCACAGTTACTGTTTACATTCTACCAGAGTCAGTACCAGTTACCACGGCAGCCTTTTCCGGACACATTCTCAATATCCTCTTTATTTGGGGGGATGTGAAAGCGAGGATACACTGACCTAAATAATGTTAACGGGGGCATGCCCCTAAATGGCAGCCTCCCAGATAACATCACCTTTTATCCCTGGTTACTCACCAGCTTGTCTTAACAGTCATCTCTAGATAAACCTTATTCTGTAAATCAGTGACAAAATGCCTGATACTTAAAAAGATAAAATCCTGGAGTTTATGGACAGACAGACAATTTGAGGCATGGGTAGAGAACCTGTCCATTTCCACAACTCTGGCTAGATGGAAAGAAATCCTCTGAAACTAATCTGGATGGCTCCCAGCCACCCCCATCTGCTCCCTGGATCCCTCACTCAACACTCCAGCTCCGAGACCCCACCCTCCTGTACATGTGGACACACTCTGGAGATAAAGTTCATTTTTACTGGGCTTCCTTTCCTAACTGGCGTGTCAGGCAAAGGCTAGCATTTCCGTTGAACGCGACCCACTCTCAGTTGCCTTCCCAAGGGGGTAGTCTTCCTCTGAGCACTGCTATACACCACCGCCTGAGCAGACCCTCTTTGGAGTCAGACAGTATCTTTGGGATTCTGAGAAGTTTAGGAGGTATAATGGGGGGAGGGGGGAGAAGGACTATTGCTTTTTAATCCTCTGCCTTAAATTTAAGAGCAACTGTCTATTTACACAGTCTAGACGTGCTATCTTACCGCATCATGTCTCAGAAATGTAAGTGGAGGGAAACCAGTTTGGCAAGATAGTAAGGGAACAAGATAATGGGTTTAAATGACGAAATAGGAAATCCGTTCCTGAGTGGTGTTTGGCAGTTTGATGTTGCAAGGGATGGGTGTGGGGAATATGGGATGGTGTCAAGGAGCAATTTGCACACTTGTTTCAGGAGTGAACTCAGAGGAGTAGGGCTGTATTGGATCAATCCAATTTGCTACTTGTCCAGAGAATCTACTAATTTTCATTAGGAAAATGATTTTAAAGATGTGTGGGAAAAATAAATAATAAAACTAATATGAAGTCTTAATTACAGAATAGGTCACTGCCTTTAATCTCTGCCCAACTCTTAATAGTCTGTCTGGGTTTTAGTCAACTGTTTCCATGACGCAATTTCTATCTCAAAGTGATTGCAGATTTAACTATGTAATTTGTTGAGTTTTTGTTTTTGTGCAAAATCCTTCATTAGGTCTTGAAATGTTAAATGGAGCTCAAGTAAGAGACATTGCTTCCTGTCTCTTCTGTGGTGTGGTCAGTCACTAGCAAATGGAGAGTGGAACAAAGGGGTGTTATTATGCAATACGAATTGTCTAACAAGAGATTGCTATTGAAGATAGGCAGGTTCTGACGAAAATGTTATATAAAAGTGTTGCCTTCTTAAGCCAGTAGGATGAAGACTAACTGTAGGATAGTACTGATTTTCAAAAGGAATAATTTTGGGGAAAATAAACTTCTAAAACATTTTTAACTTTTTCTCTGGTCTGTTACTTAGTAAAAATATGTTTACTTTGAACTTCTGATGCATCCATTAGAGCAACTGAAACAATGCGAACAACGATAAAAGGTTTTGACTTTAAGATTCATAAATAGATATAATTATTCAATTAAAAAATCTTGTTTTGCTAGAACTCATTGTCATACAAAAATATGTACCACTTCAAGTATTCATAATTTGTGTGAAATGAGGCTAAATGAATGTCTATGCCAGCTGTTAGTCCCTTTCTGGAATAAGTATCAAACTAATGAGAAAACGAAATGGTGATTTTCTATATTCATCCTTTCACATCTATTCCATTAACAGCAGAATCAGCGTAGCTTGATGATGTCACTCGTGATGTCTGGAAAGTGGATAGCACATGTGTCTCTATTAAACCTTAATAGATCAAGTGCTCTTCCTTTGCTAGGTTGTGAGTTTCTCAAGGTAGGACTTAACCTTCACTCATCCTTCAAACAGCTCTCACCTAGACCCCCCCCAAAGAATTCAACAAATTTGAATAAAATGAAATGATAATAAGGCTAGAGTTCTGTTGCCCAACAAGGCATTCTTTTGCAGATGGGTCTTGAGTCCAAGACTTTTTTGTCTGTTCTGCTCCCACAGAAAGGCCTGGCTTCCCTATAAGGGCAGGTGTCCCAAGGCTTGTCCCTCCCCCTGGGCTGCGCGTTCAGCTTCCAATAAGCCCTGGCTGTGCAAACACCACATCCGTAGGAACAAGAGGACATCATCATTCTAAAAACTGGCAATGAAGGGGTAGGATGTACCAAGGTGGTATTTAATCCGGGTGCCTAGATTGAAACACTATGTCCAGATTGGCTCTCCCAATATAAAGAAGGAAACAGATATGGAATCCAGATA